GATATTTTAAAATAAATCAATCCATATTTTAAAATAAATCAATCTATATTTTAAAATAAATCAATCCATATTTTAAAATAAATTTTTCCATATTTTAAAATAAATCAATTCATATTTTAAAATAGTTTTTTTTCATATTTTAAAATAAATCAATCCATATTTTAAAATGAATCAATCCATATTTTAAAATAAATCAATCCATATTTTAAAATAAATCAATCCATATTTTAAAATAAATTTTTTCATATTTTAAAATAAATCAATACATATTTTAAAATAAATTTTTCCATATTTTAAAATAAATCAATTCATATTTTAAAATAAATCAATCCGTATTTTAAAATAAATCAATTCATATTTTAAAATAAATCATCTATATTTTAAAATATATTTTAAAATAGATTTAAAATATTTTAATTTTCCCGCAGACCTTTGAAGATATAAAACAATGTCTGTACCAAAAAGAGCTCGCGCAGACGTTTGAAGAGTTTATGTCTTCTAAAAAAACAAACAGTCTGCGAAGCCCAATGTTTGTGCGGCACAGACATAAGAGCTTTACAGACTTTACACAAAAAATTTAAATTTACTTTCAAAACATTTTAGATTCTAACTTTTTGAACAAATCTCTTTCTGAATCTATTCAGAGTTCATTATATGATTTCTTGTTGATTCTTAATATGTGTAAGCATGAATAGACCGAAAAGGACAGATGAGATAAACGTCCTCTAAATTTTTAAAATCACCGTATATATACTTAAATTTTATAAGTTTTTATTTTCTTAAATTTTAAAAATTCCATTTTTTAACATAAAATAATATGTCTATTTCTTTGTACAGGTTACTATTAAGGTGGCTACTTGCTCATTTTTTGTGGTAGGTGGTACTTCCCATAGATGTAATCAACTTGTGGTTTTTTGGGACCACAAATGTCCAACTTTACTTGGTACCAATCTTCGTTTGAATGAAAAATGTTCATTTAATAAATTATTATATATATATATATATATATTCCAGTTGATGGAAAGAACAAGAAAAGCTTCATCTCCACGGCATACGAAATAAACAAACATTACCTCGTATTTCTTTAAATTAAAAAAATGGGGCGGCAAAAGAACTATAAAATATTAGAGCAAAACAACAGAATTGATTCATTCCAATCATTTTAAGTATTTTAGGATGCGTTTAGTTCACAGAATAAGGTTGCCAGTGGAAATAAAAGATTATTAGAGAATAGGATTACTGAAATGTTGTATTTTATGTTTGGTTGGTTTAGCATGAATGTAAGATTATCGTGTTGTATTCAATGACAGAAGAATGACATTTTTGAAATAAAATAAAAATTTAAGGGTATTTTAGTCCAAAACGCCGATAATATTACAATACCTAAGAGAAGAAAGATAATGACATTCCCAGCCAACCAAACATGGAATGTGGATTCTCATTTTATGAGAATCACACAATCTTTGAACCAAACACTCCTTAATAATATTTAAGAAAATAAGAATATTTTAAAGCACCAATTTGGTGTTGTATTCTTTCCCAACACTTTTCGAAGCGCTTCTTTTTTTTTCAACGTGTAATATTTAAATTTGAATTTTATATAACTAATAGTTTTAAATTTATAAATTATTATAGCCGCTTTCTTCCTTCTCCTCTCTTTTTTCATTCTTTACAATTTATGTTTATAATTATTAATCAATCTAACTTTTTCTTCATAAATTTTATTTAACCGACGACGGCACCAGTTTTGATATTGGTTGCCGCCCGTCGTTATAGGAAAATGTACTAATTATAATTTAATTTACGTTTATGGTTATGCTCGTAAATCTTTATTGTAATTCTATATATTTTATATTTTTAATAAAACTAGCGGCTTTCTATAAAAAAAATTATAAATCATTATTGTCATAATTTATATGGTATACTTATATATATACATATAGGGAAGGATCCAGTTACATTGTATTAGTTTTATATATTTTTAAGATCGTTGAAATATTTGAAAATTTAAAGTCTGAAATTAACATCTTTTTTCAATGAATATTTTCTTATTTTTTACTGTCTTTTATTTATATATACAATCATTATTATCATAATTTTTATGGCATCAATTACATATAAATAATTATATTTATATATATAATCATTATTATCATAATTTGGGAATATTTCTCTTTTGGATTTTGTTTGATTAATTTACTTACCTCTCTATCTTCTACTAATCGTATCGCTCAAACATATTTATGAATTTGTTTCTTAACAAAATTATAAATATATTTGTAAAACTTATTGGTTCGAAAATGTTTAACTTTTTAAAAATATTTGTGAAAAAAATTATCATCAATTATTTTGAACTAAATATGATTTAATATTTTTAAATTTAACGAATATAATATTGCTTTTATATTTTCATTGCCTAATAGTACTTTTAAAATTTTCAACAAAAATAATGTCTTTTATATTATTTTTATACTCGCTTAAGGTGACTCTCAAATGTAAAAAAAATATTATCCTTTGACCAACGATTTTATCATGATCATTAGCAGACTCGTTTTTTAGATTTTGGTGGCTCTAGGCGAACTAAAAAATTAGCCCTTAGTCAGAGGTTTAAATTACAATTTGTATTTGTGCATTCGATCGCCTTGTGTTTATCATTATTGTGAACGTAACAAATGATAATGTAGTCACTGCAAGTATCGTGGTTGTGAAATTTTAATAATATATACTATTATTGACATAATAATTGTTGATATCGCGGTTTTGGATAATACTGTTACTATTGCATAACGGTCATTATTGTGATTACACACCGTTATTTAAGTAATTGTTTATAATAATAAGTGTAGAAAAAACAATTTAAGGGTAGTTTCATAATAATAAGTATTAGAAAAAAATGAGTACATGATAATAAATATTAAAAAATAGTAAATTTTAAGAGTATGATCATAATAACAAATATTAAAAAATTGAACCTCCAATAAAAAGTACCGGAAAAAATTAGTTTCAAAACAAAAAAGTAAATATTAGAAAAAATTGAATTTTAAAAGTTTGCCCTAGTAACAAATATTGAAAAAATTGAACCACTGATAATAAGGGTTGAAAAGAATTGGGACTTTAATAACAAATGTTAGAAAAAATATTGGCAAAAAGTTAGATACTTATACAAATATTTAAAAAAAAATTTAAAACTAGGACCATAATAATAATTATTAAAAAAATAAGCTCATAATAATAAATATTAAGAAAATATTGAAACCATAATAATAAATATTTCAAATAATTGGAGCCCCTATAAAACATTATACAAATTATGACCCCTCCTGCCCAGGTTCAGATACGACACTGATCACTAGAATATTGATACGATAATTTATAATGTTAATGCAATAATCTATGTTAATGAATGACGTGATAAATGAATTAAATTGATTTTTTTATCGAATTTAACGCGACTTCCTTCCCTTATACCGTCTTCACAGTTCTCTACTTGTTCTTAGCGTATTGGATATTCCTTTGCTATACGAGCAGACGATCCATTTATTAATGGCAGGATTGTTGTTATTCAAAGCTTTGAATCTGATGTGCGCATCCGAACATAAGCATTACGTTAAAGTTACCGGGACCCCTCACGGTTGGGAATTATAAATATAATTATCATTTTTTTGGTAGCCGGTTCTTCCCTCACATGTGATCAACTTGTGGTTTTGTTGCTACCAATCTTCATTGCAATGAATTTCATATATATATATATATATATATATATATATATATATATATATATATATATATATATTTCCACGTCATGAGGAAAAAGAAACATTATCTAGTCTTTAGTCAGATAAAGGGCGGCAAAAGAACTATAAAATATTAGAGCATAACGACAGAATTGATTCATTCGACAACCAATCACTTTCCAAGTTTTTATTTCACAAAATCATAATATTTTTTGGGTTGTACTCTAGTTTCAAAGCTTCGTCTTGATTATTTGGATCAATTTGGATTGTATATCTAATTTTGGCGGGTGAGATTCCCAACAAGAATTTTCTACATATACGAGGACTCGAACCTGAGACCTTAAGTGATATTAAGTATTACCACTTGAATCAATCCGTCGATAAAATCATAATATTTTAAAACACCAATTTGGGGTTGTAGTCTTTCTCCCAACACTTTTCTTTTGTTTCAACATGTAATACGATACTCGGATTTGGATTTTTATATAATTATATTAACATTTATTATTATTACCATAATTTGTATAGTACAAGTTACATGTATTATTACACATAAATAAGTATCTTTGTTTAATACCAAAATAATTAATTTTATGTGTTAAAATAAATTTAACGTATCATATTATATATTTAATCAAAATTTATATGCCCTAGCAGAACTAATAGCTGAACAATTCTAATCACTATCCAATAAACTATAGCTAGTAAAAAAAGGGGCAAAAGGGACACAACTAGTAGAAAAGAACAATTAAATTAATAATGAGATAAGGTTTGAAATGCAAGTTGGAAACCAGTCATCATCCCCATATTTTTTGTGGACTTTTTTGCACAAATCGAATTCAAAGTTGACATTAACAAAATATGTCGACATTTTTGGCAACAAAATAACCCACCCCCAATAAATGTCGACTCATAACGTATATTGGATTAATCTTAATTTAATATACCATAATTAAAATAATATCTTTTATCAATACATATTAAGTTATAAATTGATTAATGATTACTCTTTTAATTTGTTCAACATAATCAAATCTTGGTAGCGTTAAAAGATCATGCAATGATTTATTTATTTAGAAAAGAAAAACATAATAAATTTTATTTCGAAAATTATTTATATGATCCATAATGTTCTGACGACGATTTCATCGTAAAGATAAGGCAAATATTTATTAATTTTTTTATGTTTCTTTCATGAGGACAGTGCCTCACTTTTTGGGGTCAAGAGCGACTATAAATAGCCCTCTTGAGTCTTGAAAAACTGCTAATAATCGCGACATTTTATGCTGCTCCTCTTTACTAAGTGAAGGTATGTTTCCTCATAATGAAAGTGCATATCGATTGTATTTTTATTAAATTATATTATATTTCAACACCATGAAAAAGCATATCATGCAATTTTTCCAAGTCAATATGCTTGGAGTCTGCCTGTTATCTTTATGTTTCTTTTCTTTTTATCTGCTGAGAAACTGGAGGTTCAAGAGAAAGAAAAACTGGATCTACGATGGCTCCCAAAGGTGATAAAAAGGCGCGTAGGGTTAAGAAAATAAAGCTTCACCCGGTACTAGTGTACTCAACCTTGTTTTTTCCTACTTTAATTTCCTTAAATCACTAGGTGAATCACTTTTCTTTGTTTGTCGTCCATGTCCGATGACAAAAGAGGCAAGAAATGGAGAAAATAAAAGTTTGGTCGGCGGTGTTAGTCGAGATGACCGCTGTGCAAACGGAGCTGTTAGATGACCTGGACCCAGATTCGAACAGCCAAGATCTACATATGAAAACTGAAGCACTCAAGGGAGTGAACCTCCAGTGTGAACTGCTGGATTCTATCATCCAAAACTACTTTCATGTCATGCTTGGTGTGCCCGGTGTTTGATGATCGACCGTCATGTTACCCGAATTCGGAATTTATTTTACCCGAGCTCTGGACTAAGTGTCGGATACAGTTATGTGTCCGGCACATATACGTATTAAGTGCTTTCCTTGTGTTCTCATACAATATTTATCATGTATGAGTATGTTTTTATATGCATGTATTATATGAGAATGGTCAAGCAAAATATGACGGAAGCAAAGGCCATTCATAAGAGGAAGTACTCTACTATTGAACGGGTGCTTCTCTCCTGTGCGTATTAGAAGCTTCATGTGCTGTTAAGTGTTCTTCTCGTTTATGTTAGCGTGGGATTGAAATAAAACAGATGTTCCTAGTTTTACATACCTCTGATTTTGTTTTGCATGTTACTTTAATTTTTGTCGAGTTAATTGCACAAGATTTCCCTAAGGTATGACTCACATTCTCAGTTGATCTACAAAGTTTAAAACGTTCTATATCAATCATCAAACTATTAGTATCATTCTATTTTGATCTTTCTGTTAACAAGTCGTTAACTCTACTAATTTCTTAAGATATTGGCAATTGAATCTACAAAACCTAAAAAAAGTTTAATTTATTTTTGGAAGTAACGATAATTGAACCCATGACCTAAGAAAAATAATTTATGTTGAAAGTCTTAAGAATTTTTAGAAAGTCATTGCTCCAATTCTCAAGACCCTAAATGGATAGAGTTAACAATACTAGTACAAGGTTTCATGCAAAACATTTTAAATTTAGAGACTAATTTATAATAAAGTCATAATCTAAGGTTTGATACATAGTATTTTAAAGGAAATATTTTTATTTTTAGGATTTTTTTTAAATTGTTACGAATTTTTTAAAATCTGTCGTAAATTAACTGATGATTCAGTCTTAAAAAACAATTTATTATTCAAATGAGTTATTTTACCCTACTACTTTTATTCCATAATTATTCTATTGGATTCAAGAGAGTTTATGTTCGTTACTATTTTATTATATTTTGGTCAATTTGACAAATTTTAAAATTTGGTGGATTAAAAGTAACGCATGAGAAAATTAAGGAAGTTTGGTGAGCCGAAAAGGTCATTCTGTCTTTTAAGTTAGTTTATTAAAATCACTGAACTCAGCAAATGGGATGTGTGAGGATAGAGGAGAGTAAGTCCAAAAATTTATGGTGGATGACCTTTTTGGCCACTTTAACTTTTTGGGTTTAATTATTTTAGCCCTTGAACTTTTATTATGTTTTTTGTCCTTCAACTTTTATTTTTTTATCAAAGTGACCTAAATGAGATAGAACAATGATGCTATTTTGTCTCTTCATATACATCTCTTCAAAATAATTGGATTACAAAAATTCACTTGTACGAAAATGAAATAAAGATCTCAAGCCTAAAAAATTTGCCCCATAACATTCTGAATTTGCTGATAACTGTGAGATAAAAAAATATTATAGGCCGTGAAGAACTCATCAATGGAGGATAATAGTTTTTTTTCTAAAATTAATTCCAAAATAAAACCGATACCCCTCCTATTTGGGTTGATCTAGTATAAATTAAAGATTAAATACCGAAATAAATATAATAAAAATATAAAATTTATGCACGAACTAACTTATCTTAGTGGTTAAAGAAATCGTTGTTGTTTCTAGATGTCACAGGCTCGAACATTAGCGACTGTAATTAGGGGTGCTCAAATTTTCGAACTAATTCGGTTAACCGACCTAACCGAATTAGTTCGGTTAATTATGTCGGCCACCGAATTAGTTCGGTTAATTAACAGTTAAGAAATTTTTTAGAATTCGGTTATCGGTTAATTCGGTTCAAAATCGATTAATTAACCGAATTAATCGAAATTAAATTTTAAATTTTAAATATATTATATATAACATATAAGCTCAACCCAAATCATTTAAAACTTAATTAATAATTTAAGATCTAATAGCTTTTAAACATAAATCAATATTAATTAATTAAAAATTTTATATAAAATTTTTATTTTATAATTATATATTATTTAAATTAATTGTAAACTGTTTTTTTAATTAAAAATATTAAAATATTATATATAACATATGAGTTCGGCCCAAACCATTTAAAACTCAATTAATAATTTAAAATCCAATAAATTTTAAATTTAAATCAATATTATTTAATTAAAAAATTATATAAATTTTTTATTTTATAATTATATATTATTTAAATTAATTATAAACTGTTTTTTCGAATAAAAAAATATTTAATTTTTATATAAATTAGAAAATTTTAAAAATTTTTGATTAATTCAAAAATTAACAAAATTTATTCAGTTCGGTTAATATTTTCGAAAAAAAGTTATGTTCAATTAACGGTTAAAGAAAAAAAAGTTCGGTTAATTCAGTTAATGGTAATTCGCTTCGGTCGGCCACCAAATTAACCGAATAAACAACTCTGACTGTAATATAATAATTGAACGTTCATTATTAAATAATTAAAAATATTTAAAACAAATACTAATTTATATTCACCTATGTTTAATATATATATATATATATAATTTATTAGATTGTTGGTTTAACCTTACCACTCCTAAAAATGAAAAATGAAAATAGAAAGAATTTTTCGAGGGATAAACTTACATGTTAAGAAAAGCAAACAACCGAGAGTATTAGAGACGGCCGACTATTAGATTATTTAACGGCTATCGAACGAAAAACGCGCGATTCTTACTTCCCCGCCTCAAGCTGTGTCCACATTGAAGCTTCTTGTTGAGGAAGAAGCGCAACGCAGCCTACTTTTTACTTCTCCGAAGCTTCCTGTAAGGCTCATACAAAACTGTCGTTATATATGTGTGTGCATTCAGTTATAGTACAGAGAGAGCGACTTATCAAAAAAAAAAAAAAAAGTAGAGAGCGACTGTACGAAATACCAGAAATGGGTTGTGAAACGAAACAACAAAACAAAAGAATGGGGAAACGCCAATCGTCGTCTCAACGCAACCCACCGGTACACACTAACAAACTTCGTTCTTTTCATCTATATCTGCATTTGCTATGTTTTGCCGTACATCAGATAAGTTTGGTTTAAATTTGTCCTCAAAACTCCGTTACCCCCCCCCCTCCTTTTCCTTGAGTTGGATTGAATTTGAAATTTTGATATAATCTAACAGGAAAACCAAGGGGAATGTACCTTCAAATTAACTGTAATCTATATAAATGTTCCGATTGGTTCTAAAAGAATTAGATCCGGTCATTATCGAATTCGATTCGAATAATTTATCACGACAGGGAGCGAGTTGATTTTCAACATCAATTCAAACAACTCGTCGTTGTTGAATTAGTTTGGTCATGGCCGATGTGTGTTAATGAGGATAATCGAACTGTTTGCTGGGAGCCACCACCGTCGGGCTGGAGCAAAGTAAATACTGATGGAGCCTGGCGTTGCTCATCTGGTTGTGCGGTGTGTGGAGGGGCTATCCGAGACGCGGGAGTGCGTGGATAGGGGGTTCTGAAAAATCCATCGGAATGTGTTCGGTGTTCGAGGCTGAGGTGTGGGGTGTTTTGGATCTTGGTCTGAGGTCTGTAATCTTAGAAACAGACAATAGAGAAGTTTGGCTGCTGTTAAAAGAGGGATTACGCATAGGAGTTATCTTCTCATCTAGCTCCATACATTCTTGAGTTTATCCGACGGGACTGGAATCTGAGGTCCGTGCAAGTGGTTCGGGAAGGAAACCGGGTTGCAGATAGGATGGCAAAGATGGATTGGTCTCTAGCCGCTGGTTCTCGAATTTTCAACTGTTCTCCCGTGGAAGTGCAGGCGATAGTCCATGCTGAAGCAAGCTCTTAGTTTGGAACGTTAGACAGTTTCTTTACACTCAAAAACGAACTGAATTTGAATATTTATTATTTGGTCCTAATAGCTCGTTAGTTAAATGAAGTTCCGTCTTTAATATATATTTATTAGCTTTAAGTTTCAAGCATGATTGTTAAAACGGTGTGGGACAAGTCCGATGAAGTATGAACCGGTGGTTGCAATATTTATCTTCTTTCTTATTTTTTATTCCTTATTGTTTTGATTCCCAGAAACCGAAAGTTGCCAAAAGGAAATATCGTGGATCTCGGAAAATGAAGATTCTGGTACGTGGACGTTTCTTTTCTCTTGTTCAATTTTATAGTTAATAGTTGACCTGCAGTAAATGGTGGATCTAGAATTCTTTTTAAGGTGTACACATATATATTATTAATTTAAATTTTTTACGATAAAATTTGAGAATAACATCATAGAATTTCAGGCGTACATATATTAATTAAGAAAATATCGAGATTTTAAAGAAAAAAAAATCTGAATTCCCTGAATTCAACGTGCATCGCTACTGCCTGGAGTCCATATATGTTTATAATTTTTAATAATTTGATCTTTAAGAAACTGTAAACATAGTGAACTCCAATATTATATTTTTTAATTGATGATATGTTTTTTTTTATTTTTAAAGATTTAAAAATCAAACTGATAAAAGTATCACAAAAATTCAATTTTACGAAAAATAAAGTAAATAGATTAAATTTTAAAATAATACATCAACGTATTTAAACCTTGTTGATTTCAATGTTTTTCAGTGGATTCAATTCCATCCAGCTCTGTACTAATTAAAAGCGATTAACAATGAACAGGAAAAGGAAAAGGAAAAGGAACCGGAAAAGGAATTGGAAGCGTTGGAAGCAAAGGCATGGGAGATGAGAAGGAAAGTTAAGCAAATGAAATTGGAATATCGGAAATCAAAGGCAAAGCTGAGAAAACTTGAGCGGACTACTGCAGAAATCAGGGAAGCCCATCATCAAGCATCCATCAGCAATGCTCAGGACCAGCTTTTACTTCAAGCTATGCTTCCTCTTTTCCTTGGTAATTGCGATTTCTTTTTTGAACTTCTTTTTCATGCACTCATAACTATACGTTCCAGCGGCTGCAAATTGGACCGATGATTTCTTTTTTCATTTCATTTTGCAGATTAAAGTTCAGTTAAAAAAAGGCATCTTCTCCTTGGGGACGATAATAAAGGATGAATATTCCATGAAGTTGACTGGAAAAAAGGGTAAACTATACATATAGAATCTAAACTATCATTTTGTGATTGTTTTAGTACTTAAACTTTTAATTTTTTAAATTGTACTTTACATTTAGTTTTTATTTCATTTTTATCTTATCTTTAAAACTTAATAGGTGATTTGAACGTTTGGTACCTTTTATGGGTAAATTACATCATTCATCAATCAATATCTTTTTATTCTTATTTTGGTCACTAAAGTTTTTTTAATTTAATTACTTAACTTTCAAAGTACTCTTAATTTAATCACTCTAACTTTCAAATTTATTTTTATTTTTACTTTAATGTTAATAAAATAATAATAATAATAAATTCCATGCCACAAAATTATTAATAAAATAAATTAGAGTGATTAAAATAAGAGCAATTTGAAAGTTAAGTAGATTAATTGAAAACGTTTAAACTTTAGTATCAAAATAGGAATGAGAAGATAGTTGAGTGATGAATGATATAATTTACCCATAAAAATACAGCGTCGTTAAGATTTTAACGGCGATATATTAAAATGAAACAAAAATTAAAAGTTTGATATGGTTTTGAAAAATTAAAAGCTTAGGTATTAAAATAGACTAAAACTGATAGTTTAGATACTAAACGCGAAATTTACCCAAAAATTAAGTTAACCCAATTTATAAGCATTATTTATTATTGGATAAAATACACAATGATTTCTTGATTACATTGTGTTGTTTGTTGAGTCTCTCGACTATTAAAAGTTAGAAACGATTCAACAATTATAAGACATTGTTTTATTGAATCTTTCGATTGTTAAAAGTTATAAAATGGTCACTCAACTATTCATATGTTCCAAATTCATTTTTTTTTTGTTAAGAAACTAACAATTGTCTGAACTGGACATTAATTTGTTGAGAGAGATATGATAAAATCTTATCCAAAAATCGTTTGAGCTATAGTTTATGGATAACTCTCTATTTACGTTATGCCATTGAGTCAGTACTTGAAAGCAACGATGGTGTCACTAAACATCATTACAATATAATTTTATCACATGATTGTAAACAAAATAATCTAATAAAAAAATTTGAGTAAAATAATGTTTTTTTTTTGTTATTTAGAATTTGAAAATTCAAACTCAAGTTCCGAATAAAAAATTTGAGTGGACTTGAATAAATCAAATAATTTAACTCGATTAATTTAAAAAAAATTAAAAATAATTTTTATAATCAAACTAAATTTCAGTCACCCTAAAAATAATCTATCCGTAATATAAATTTAATGAAAATTAAAAAAATTAAATATAAAAGAATACAACAAAAGTTTGAAGATGAAAATGACTGGAATAATAAAATTGGGGAAAAATTCATACTACTCTTTGTATTTTGCTCTTTTGCTTTGGTTTATCAATTATTTGCCGATTAGATTGAAGTGTAAATTACGCAGTAAAGAATGACGTGATGTGACATTTACCAAACCTTTTCTCAATGATTGCTTTATTTGTGTCAACTTTGTCGTTCAGCTCGGTCGCCCGACCCACGCGACTTCCTAATGGAAAGCGCACGATCCTCGCGAGTTCGCCGAACAATATTCGAAACGACGATAATTAAAAGGAATACAAACATTAATATTAGGTCGATTTCTAGATTTAGCTATTCTATTATGCTCAACTTTAATATTTAATCTTTATATTGTAATTTTGTATGATTTAATCTTTTTGTTTTTATGATATCCTTCTTCAATACAAATAATTGACACGTTAGTTATTCTAGTTAAATTAATAATGAGGATTTTTATTTAAAAAACACACTCTTGGAACTTATCGCGTTGATATTAATTTATATTGAAAATGTTTTTTATAAATATATTTCTAACAATAATAATTAATAATTTTAACTAGCTATAAAGTAATGTTATAAAAGTAAAATAACTAAATAATGTCAAATTAAGGTATATTCGACTAAAGTTCAATTTTAGCAAGTGAAGGGGGGCCAACTCAGAATTTAACCTATATAAATATTACTAATCCTTGAGTAGAGATAGTGTTTTATACTCGGCTCTAAGTTGCAGTGCAGAACTGGTAAAATGGTGATAGAAATGAAGAAGACGATGGATCACTGGGAAAATTTTTAAATTAGGGAAGCGAATGGTCACGCGGTAGAGTTTAGATGGTGAAATAGAATCTCAGCGTCTTCCCATCATCACCACAGTCTACGCCCAAAGCATTTTCTTCTCTAATTTGTACGATTTTACCTGCGTTTCTTTTTCACTCGGATCCGTTCCATGTGCTTACGTAATTTCTTCTTACTTTCAGATATGTTTCGAGTTCAAATAAGTGTAGAGAAAATTACATATTATTGAGATACATGATGTAGCTGAGGGTGATGTTCACGTGGTTTAGCTGTTGATGCATGGCATACATAAAGAAGTTGGATTATAACTAATTTGCATACGTGTCAAGGTTGTTAGGAATCCATTCTAGAAGCTGTAGGTTGTTAAATTTGTTATCAATCTGCTATAAGAGGTCAAGTCTAGGTGATGTATAATTCACGTTTTTTGGTGAATGAAAAGGAATTCTAGATTTCAGTTTGTTTTCCAAGCTTTGCTTACTGCAATGCTTCACATGGTATCATTCGCTATTCGTTCCTGAGGTTGCCTTTGTGTATGCGTTGTTCTCGTCACATGGAGTTCTCGGTAGGGAAGACCTTTATAAACAAGAAGGTTAACATCATTCTTGATGAGTCAACTTTCTTTTTGGAAGCAGCAAGTTCTACTGACCGTTCGCATTCATAAACTGGAACGGTTGTTAACGGGAGCTGCCTCTTCTCCATCTGCAACGGTTGTAAACGAGCATGGTGATTTGGTGCCAAATGAGTTGTATGAAGACTATGTTGCACAAGACAGTGCATTAGCGTCTTGGCTTTTATCCATGATCAGCCCTCATTTGCTGTCCCAATTTGTTGGAGCGGAGACGGCAGCGACGGTCTGGAGCACGGTCCTACAGTTCTTTGCGAACCGATCTACCATGGTTGTTATCAGCCTCCATTACAAACTCCAATCACTTAAAAAAGGCAATGACATCATGTGCACATATCTCACTCGCATCAAGAGGTTTGTGATGCATTAGATTCATGTGAAAGTGCGATTCCTCAAGCCGAGCATGTTGCTAGCATATTAAAAGGTCTCCCTCGTGAATATCAACCATATATTGCGTTCATAACCACCATGAATGATGAGTTGTCTCTTGAAAAGATCTTCTCGATGTTGATTGATGCAGAAACGCAATTGGTTGGGTTTGAAAGGCAATGACATCATGTGCACATATCTCACTCGCATGAAAGAGGTTTGTGATGCATTAGATTCATGTGAAAGTGCGATTCCTCAAGCCGAGCATGTTGTTAGCATATTAAAAGGTCTCCCTCGTGAATATCAACCATACATTGCGTTCATCACCACCATGAAGGATGAGTTGTCTCTTGAAAAGATCTGCTCGATGTTGATTGATGTAGAAACGCAATTGGCTGGGTTTGATTCCCAGGAATAGTACCTTCCAATAAGTGTGCATGTAGTGCAAGCTGGCTTGAGCGGTTCTGGACGATCAGGTTCTAACAATTCTGGCCGCGGTGGAGGACGTGGTCGTGGTCGTCCACGTGTTCAGTGCCAGCTGTGTGGCAAAAATGGTCACTTGGTTGTTAACTGTTGGTATAGGTTCGATCAGACCTTCACTGGTCGATCAACAGATCGTGCAGTAGCTCGTAGTGAGTCAGGCTTCGCTAATTATTCCGGTGTTGAGATGGTTTCTACTGGTGAGGATGACTGTGTGTGATGCACCAAATCTCGTGTTGAGGCACAACTTTGTCATTCCTCGCAGCCTCAGCCACGTTTTACTACTACCACAAGGGATCACTAGGTGGTTGACTACGGGGCTACGCATCATGTAACACCCGACTCAACCAACGTGTTTAATCAAAAGAATGTCTCTAGACCAGGTAATATTACTGTTGGCAGTAGTGATTATCTTTCTATTATAGCAATTGGTAAAACTGCTTTATGCTCTTCTTCTTCTCGAGCTTTGATGTTGAATGATTTGCTACATGTACCTAAGATAACTAAAAACTTTCTCTCGGTCTCGAAGCTTGCTAGGGACAATGAGGTCTATTTTGAATTTTATGCCTCTCATTACTGCGTTCGTGATGAAAGAACTGGTGAAGTGTTATTGCAAGGATAAGAGAATGATGGTCTATATTTGTTTCAAGTAGATTCCATAAGTAATAATAATGTTTCTATTGAAGCCAATAGTGTTACTGCTTCACGTAATCTGTATGAACTATGGCATAGATGCCTTGGGCATCCTGCCCATGGAACACTTTCGCAAATTTGCAAATTACTTGATGTAATGTTGAGCAAAATATTAATGAGACCTGTGTTGCTTGTCATATGGGAAAGAGCCATAAACTTCCATTTTAAGATTCGTCTACTGTGTATGAGCTCCCTTTCCAACTTGTATTTACATAATTATGAGGGTCGTCACCTGTTGTCTCTAATGGCTACAAGTATTATGTTAGTTTTGTAGATGCTTGTACTGGACACACGTAGTTATATATTCTCAAGGATAAGTCCCAGGCTGCTTATGCTTTTAATATGTTTCATCAACTTGTAAAGACACACAATTTGGGCTAAAGATTTTAGATGTTCAGAGTGATTGGGGAGGTAAATATCGTCGTCTGTCTCGACTGCTTGCTGAAGCTGACATATCTCATTGGGTTACCTGTCCACACATCTCCGAACAGAACGATGTTGTGGAACGCAAACATAGGCATGTTGTTGAGTTGGCGTTAGTCTTGCTTGCACAAGCATCCATGCCAACCAGTTATTGGTCGTATACAGTAGTTATGGTCGTGCACTTGATAAACAGACTTCCTTCTAGGGTGTTAGCTGGACGTTCACCATTTAAGTGTATGTTCAAAAATAAGCCTGATTATGAATCATTCAGAGTGTTTGGATGTAGATGTTTTCCTCATCTC